AAGCTTGGGGGAGGGGCAGTTTATGCAGACTGTGCTGGGACTTGTGATCCACAGATTTGATATTCACATTAAGAGAGAAACTGGCTGCTTTGATGTGGGGGGGGGGGGGGGCAGTTCCCAGGGGACTGCTGAAGTAGCACACTTTTTTTTTTTACTGACACAGCACGGGCCTGCCGGGGTGTGGTGGGTGTGTACATGCGCGTGCGTTTGCGCGTTTGTGTGTGTGTGTGTTGGGCATGCTGGTGTGCGCCAAAAGACAGTGGGTTGGTTGTTGGGTCTAGGGGGGTGAGGGGGTGGCAGTGCCCCCCTTTTGCTGATTAGATGTAACCTCAACAACCTTCTCTCACGTCTCCCCGGCCACCGAGCACCTACTTATACGGGATCCCTGAGGATTAGCCCTGAGCTTACACCTGTCCTTATAACCCCTGCATCCACCTATAGTCAATTCACACTCTTCCATCCTTTTATGGTGCTTCTCCTCCCACTTCCTCCTCTGTGGCTTTGTGTATCCACTTTTAATCCCCTGATCAAAAGACAACTGCCAACTTTTCATCCCTCCTGAAGCAGCAGCAGCGGTGGAGGAGGTGGTGGTGGAGGGGTGGGAGACAGGAGTTACAGTAGGTGGTGGAGAGGTGAAGACGGACGCGGGTCAAATTTGTGTCACACAAACAAATTATAAAATTATTCATTTAAGAAACAGGGATTTTTTTTTCTAGTAAGTTTTCAAACCTTCCCTGCAGAGGGAGCTCTAATTACAAGATAGATCTATTACTGGATTAAAACAATCTCCAATTAATCTCTTTTAAATGTTCCTGTCTTTCTTGAATTCTTCATCGTTGGTGAATAACTTAATTTGAACTGCTTTACTGCCACCTGCTGGGTCACATTTCCCCTAGTTACTACGTACGACCCGAGTTGCCGACCAACTCATCCAGGTCAGTCTCAGCATAAGAACTTTTTTAAGGAATGGAATTCTTGCTCACACAACCTTTACAACCAATTAAATTAAAATGAAGGAGGGGGGGATTGAAAAAAGAATGGAAGGCGTTGTTTGGGGGGGGGAGAAGTAGAACATGTTAAGGTGTTGTACCGCCGTCGGCCACAGGGAGCTGCAGGTGTGAAAAGGAGTGCATGTGAAACACTGGTGGTTTGGGGTTTGTTTACCTCTTCATCACACTGCAGTTGTGTGTGTGTGTGTGTTGTTTTGGCTGCTGCACACTCACATTCTGGAAAGGCGTAGATCAGCTGCATTATGCATGATGAGACTCCTCGTAGGTTATGACTTGGGCCTCGCCAGCATACATATTCATGCCCGGCTCCCTGGCAGGGTGTGTATAAAACAGTGGCTTCAACTCTGACAGCCCACTTTTACCAGTAGCACTTCCTGCAGCTCCAGCTCCAGCTCTGCTCCTGCACCACGCCTGGGGTTTTTTTTCTCTCCCTCTGGTTCTGAATCTGAATCCAGATTGGAGGTGAACTGAAGCAACACTCTGTGGTCCACGTCACTGTGGTCTCCCCTCCCCAGAAGCTGCTGGGTGAGATCTTTGTGGACATGCATCCTTGAGATAAGGACCGAGGAAACCTGTCAGAGTGAGAGGACGTTGATGTCTTCAGTCGGTCGTACCTGCAGGTCACCTCATCATTTAGAGCTGCAATAATTAACTTCCAACGGTTTTCTGACGCCTTCATTTACAGACGTTTTATTTTAATAAAGACGTTTTTTTTTCTTCTTTTTCTTAACGCTTGTCAGAATGAAGACGTTTCGTACGAGTTTTCAAAGAAATGTCCAATCTTTAGTCTGACGTCCGTGAAGACGTATTTAACTCTTACGGTTTGTTTCGTTTGATAAAGGTTGAGCAGGAATAATCACACGCTGAACAGAAATACCACTTTACACCACCTGAAGTGATGACCTTCACTAGTGATACTTTTTAAAGGTATTAAAAAACCTAATACAATCTTTTGTGTCGCACATTTTTTTTTTCCCTGAATCAAATGTCAAATATTAGTCTACGTTAAAGGATTAATTTTTAATACATTTCATTTATACAAGAATCAATAAGGAGTCAAATTGATATAATATATTTAATTTATACAAGAATCAATGAGTCAAATTGATATTGATAATTGGTTCTTCATCATTTTCAATCCCTAATGCAAAGTTTTACTGAATTTAAGATTATAATTTCAGTACGATCTTATGCAAAAACCTACATAATGCTAAACTAAATCCACTTCCACGGCCGTATGTTTCCCTGAAAACCTCAGCAGGACACCAAAACAGAACTTTAGAAAACAACAAATGTCCCTGTCAGTATTTATACAAATCCCCCTTCAACCTCTCTGGACTCTGTGGACGGTCAGCGTGTCCAGGTGAGCAGGTGTCCTGGTCCCACATTTAGCCTCTGGCTGGGGCAGTTAGTTCCTGTTTTTTTCTAAATTTTTCTAAATTTAGAGTTTTCAGTGGGTCAGTGTTTTTGGGTTAAATCCCTGAGTTATTTTTAATTCAGTCACAGCATTCAGATCTCTCTGCCACCATGGCAACACGCACTGTCGTCTCCTGGTGTGAAGGAGCCCTGAGAGAGAGAGAGACAGCAGCTTTGTGTGTGTGTGTGTGTGTGTGTGTCTGGTTTTGACAGGCTCTGATTGGCGTGAGTTGTTCTGATCCCTTTTCTCTTCCACTTGTCTCTCCATCAGTCCCGGTGCTCGCACGCCCCCACTGACATTGGGCCCCCCAGGCCATATAATCTACTGTATGAGAGGTTTTGCTTCTGCCAGCGCCCCCCCCCACCTCCCGCCTCACCTCCCTGAGCTCTCAGGGTGACCCCCTCACTCCTCCACTTTAGTCCTGTCCCCCCATTGGGAGATTATAGATATTGCAATCTTTAATATGGGCTTTATACTCCGGGGCCATTATCAGTAATCTGCGTAGGAGGAGGAGGGGAGGAGGGGGGGTCTGACCTGTTTTTTTTTTTTTTTTTTTTGCGTCCCACAACCAGACATGATTTTCATATACCATCTGTAACGTTCCGTCCAGATTTGTCAACAGGAGCCAAAGGCAGCAGCAGTGTTTTAAAGGGAAGTCAAGTTGTTGTGGATGAGATGAAGTTGTCTCTTTGATTTGTTGCCCTCAGCACGTTGATGCTGTTTACTGCTGACAATCTGTGTCAGGTTGGACTGGATCATGTTTTATGTTGCCATCAAGAGCTCCGAGCCACAACACACCGGACTGAAGAGGTGGACTCGAGCGCAGGCTTTAAAAAAAATGAGAATTGAATCCTTGTGGCTGTTTGTGGTACTTCACTGTACTTTAACTGTCCTGTGGTTTATCTGTTCTTGATATCCCAGCTTTTGTACATTTCAATCATCTAAAGTAACAAACGGCTCATCCTGGATTCTTAAAGTTCCAAATAATTTAGAAAACTTTTCCATTTTGTGCGTGATTGAAAATGTGGTTCACCTAAGGCACTGGATTTTAAAGAAATGTACTCTTTTTTCAACGGAAAGGTTAGGGATGTGATGAGAAACATTGAAAGTTTGAAAGTAAAAATAAAATGAGAATATGTCCAGAGATTATTGAAGGTTAATTGAAAACAAATGATACAGAACAACATGTTTCTGTATTAGATGTATTCAATGATAGAATTAATTGTCAGCAGTGGTTAACATTATCCACATCTGACCCCCCCCCCACCCGTAAACCCCACCCCCCCATACACACACACTTCTGATCTAATCTTTACAACGTTGACCCTAAATTTCAGAGATGTTCTGACTTTCCCTTTCTCATTTCTCATTCAGAGGTGTGTGTGTGTGTGTTTGTGTTTAATCTGAATGGCAGTGGAAATCATTTGTGTGTGTGTGTGTGTGTGTGTGTGTGTAAAATATGTAAGGAGATTAAATAGACTTAAATCTCTGTGTCTGGCATAGAAACTCCAATCACATAACCTATCTGCTGTCTCTCTCTCCCTCTCTCTCTAGGTCTCTTTACCTCCCTTCTGTCTTTCTCTCTCTCTATGTCTCTTTACCTCCCTTCTGTCTTTGTCTTTGTTTTTCTGTGTTTGCATGACACATACAGAGGTTAGATAATAGGCGCCTCCTGTCCGTGCAGTTTATTTTGAAATATAAAAGCACTTTAAAATCCGGTCGGCCTTCGATCAACCTGTTGGTAAATGTGTTGAAATGTTCTAATGTCATTGGCTGTTGTTGTGGTTATTAAACATCATTCAATGTAACTCAGAAGTTAACCAACGCCATAATTATTTGCATGTTAATTTTTAATAAAAAATATTGATACAGAGCTGTGAAATATTGATAGGTTATCCTGACATGAAATATCAGAATATTTCACTGTATAAGTATTTTCTTACACCACTATTAACCACAAGCTTCCATGATTTATGGACCAATTTAAAATGTTATATAATAGTATAATAGTAAAGTTGAGTATTTTCTGTTTGTTTATTAATTATTGTTTAATTTTTTTTTATTATAAGACATTGATTGTCGTTTGGATTGATGAAAATGTCCGCCGCTCGCTGACTGGTGTTGTCTTGTGTCCCTGCAGTACACAGTGAGGATGTGGGCTCTACCAGGCTGTACTTTGTGAACGCCTCCCTGCAGAGGGTAACCTACTCCAGCTCGGTGGGGGTGTCCCTGCCCTGTCCAGCAGGGGGCACCCCCAGTGCCATCCTGCGCTGGTACCTGGCCACCGGCGACGACATCTACGACGTGCCCCACATCCGCCACGTGCACGCCAATGGCACTCTGCAGCTCTACTCCTTCTCGCCCTCCGCCTACAACAGCTACATCCATGACAACGACTACTTCTGCACCGCCGAGAACCAGGCCGGCAAAATCCGTAGCCCCAACATCCGCATCAAAGCTGGTGAGTTGGTTCTGAGACCAGTGAGTCACTTCCTGTCGTGTCCAGAACTTTCATTCATTTTCCATTCATTTTCGTCCGCTCTAACCGAGATTCGATATTGCAGGTGGAGGTGAACCCTGGGGTTCCACACCAATGACAGAGACATTGACTCTGGGCCAAAGTGCCTCTAATTATTATTTTATATATATATATATTAATTGTTATATACAGTATAGCCAATGAAGTGGCTGCTACAGTAGATAAATATGCTGATGGAGTGACATTAGACGATGCAAAAAACAATAAGGATGGCAGCAAAAGAAAATCAAAAATTAGGTAAGAAAAATTGTACAAAAAACATGATTGACAACTGCAACACGAACCACCAGAATGACCCAGAACCCAGTCCACAGAGGGAAGATCTAAATACCATGGTTCATCAGGCCCTATGGTTCTGTGATGATTTTTTTTTTTACATATATATATAAAGCATAAAATAGCATCAGATGAGAGGTTTTTAAAAAGGGTTATATAAATTTATGCGTTGTCTGACAAGTTCATCCTTCCTGCGGCTCCTTAACTTTTAGAAAAGGTCAATCCTACCAAAGCAACCGTCAACCTTTTTACCACTTTTACCTTTAAAGAAATGTCTTGTAAAGGTTTCCATGGTGGTAAGTGTCTCCCAGAATTTGAGTCTAAGAAAATGTGTCCTTTTTTTTCCATGGTGGTAAGTGTCTCCCAGAATGTGAGTCTAAGAAAATATGTCCTTCTTTTAAAAAAAAAAAAAGATATAAGTCACTTTACTTAACAGTTTGTCTTTGACTGATTTAAAAAAAAAAAAAGAAAACTTTTAGGAATTCCTTATTGTCCATCTTTGTTTACTTTGCTTAGTTGATCCTTAACTGCTGTGTTTGATTGTTGTCACAACGGTTGTATTTAAATCATTTTAGCTAGAACTGATTCTGCCAGTCCCGGTGCCAAGAGTGACCTTATCTCCCCGGGTCAGGGTTTGTAGATCTGGACTTGAGGCTTCCTCTGTTTTCATCACATCCTTTCCCGTTCTCCATCTCCCTGCTCCCTTGTTCTTCAAACTGTCCTCTCGTGCCAGACTAAATATAGCCACAGCGCACTCCTTTAATTATCTCTCATTAACAAACCTAATTGGTCCTTTCCATTCATTAGACTGGGTGAAGCAGCTTTAATAAGCCCGACCACGTCTAAGGTAAAATAGCACTTCTGTGGCTCCCACTTCCTTCGGCACCTCGCAGGTGAAAAGACACTCGTGGCTCATCAGGAAGATGTGAGTTCCTGCCCACAGCTGAAAAACAAAGCTGTAACTGTGTTTACAAAAGCTTTGCATCTATTGTCCTGCCAGCTCACCTCCACCCCCCACTACCTTCCTCGTCCTTCCCCATCGTCCACTCGGCTGCCCAGCTGCTCCCTCCCTCCTTCCCTGCCCGCCATCAACATCTGTTTTCATATTCTGCCTCCCAACACTGACTTCATCTAATACTCATATTCGTTCTAGTACTAATACTAGAGCCACGTCGGGGATTTTCTCACGTGACCCAAAAGCCGGGGCCACTGGAGACGAGGGATTAACTTCAACCAAACATCCCGTGGCCCAGCGTCCTCTGTTGGACTTTGGTGAAGTGTCAGTTAAAGCAGATCCTTGTTGTCCCTGAGTTACTGGTCCATATACCAAAACCATTGACATCTGCATAGGCTGTTTTTTTTTGTGTTTTTTTTCCTGGACTATAGCTGCATGCGATGTTGTGGTCCTCTGTATGTAAAGAAGATGTAAATGTGCC